CAGGAAACGTCGCAGTCGCCCGCCTTGCTAGCATGCATCCTGTCACCGTTGATTGTTTGATGCTTCATCATTGTTGTGGACTTGGTTTGTAGCTAATCATCCTTTCTTCCTCCTCTCTTCCAATCTTCATCTCCTTCTACTCATACGGTTGTGTATGGCGCCCTGCAGTCGGGCATCTCATCTTCGTCAGCCAGTGACGCCAACTCCATGGTCTACAGATGAAATTTGGTTTTCATTAGCGGCGACGACGGAATTCTGGTGCCTGTGGTATATGGATCGGGAACTGCGGCGGTGTGTGCTTGTGGAGTTGATCCAGATCGAATCGGCTAGGGTTGGGGTTGCTCGGGGGTTACGATGCCTTGGGACAAGGGTTGGAGGCAGCGCTGGTAGCAGGGCTGGTCACCGACCGACAACTGGCTGGGCGGTGGCTAGGGGTTGGGGATGGCGCTGTTGACCGATGTTGGCAGTGTCATCGTTGTGGGATTACTGTGGCGGTGTCACTGTGATCGATGCCATTGTGGCCGGCGGGCCGACATCAGTCATCAGTAGGGGTGATCATTGTGGCGTATGTTAATGTGACGAGTCATGTTACTATCGTATAATGCCACTGGAGACTAGGAGTAATTTAGCGAATAAGATAGCTATTAATTATATTTTTGGAAATTAAAAAATCATTTGTTGTACATACCATTTTTAGTAATATTCGAATAAAGACCCCGTGAAAAAATCTAACGTGAGAAGCTAGACTAATGTCGCGGACAAGAAACATGTGCTAGAGACATTATTTTGCAACTTTTCATGTACATTAACAACATAAGAATATCTGATATACTAATTATAAATTAAACACAATATCACACACTGACACACAAATCGGTGTGTGATATCACACACATGTGAATGAGGGTAAATCAATGTTTTTGAAGAATAATAATTGTTCGTGTGAGAGAATCTCCATTCATGCTCTCTAAATAAATAATTTTTTTGCCACATCACTAAAATAATCTTAAAACTTATTAAATCCCCTCTTTTCAATGTTTTATATTTAATGCTTTTTCATGGATTCACACGAATGAACTAAAAAATAGGACAAAAATCCCTAAATAACCTAAATTCAATATTTGATACCAATTTATTTAGGAAATAATCTTTCCAAATAATCATAGTTTCTCAATCATAACCTCAAAGATAACCATCCACTGTTGGAATAAATCCATGAATACTTTAATCTTCATATTGAAATTATCTAGAGAATTAACTGAGCGGAAGCGTACCTGACTCCATGGGAGATGGCCTTTAGAGATCCGGGAGACGGAGGCTAGGGTTTGTGTCTTCTAGTTGATACACACCCTCGGGATTATCTCTCTAGCGATGGGATGCAGAAAGACAGAATGGCGTGTACAACTAGGGACCATAACCCCTTATTTATAGAGTGCTTAACCCTAATCAGCCCATCATTGATTAGGTTAAGCTCATGGGTCTCTACACATTTGGGCTCTATACCTTATTAGATAACTTATTAGCCCACTTAAATTAATATCCATAGGACCACTAATTTTTGGGCGTAAATATAAGATAGCATATAACATACAATTAAACCCGATAAATAATATATTGTGAATATTACATGTAGTCTAAGTCCAATAATCTAACAATCTCCCACTTGGACGACATACACATGAATACACAATCCTTAGAATTGTATGTTTACTTTAGGAGCTCCAAATTTTTGCTATCAAACTGTAGTCATCCTTAATCAATCCGGTCCATTAATTATATCAACATAGGACCAAAGAAGTCTTTGCTATATTTGAATAACTAGACCCATCGATGATCACATATATTAATATAATAAACGACATGGATCAAGTATAGGTGTGTAGCGTGGAAATAACATATAGTGTGGTCTGGAATGCAATGTCTATTTCCAACTGGTCCACCCTGAGATCAATAATATAACTGTAAGAGTACATAAAGCTTTAAATTTTATTTCTGCAGAAAATAACATTAAAACTTGAGTTAACCAAACATAGAAACATTACAAACTCCCACTAAAACTCATAATCCTCAACTGATTTGACACCCATTTGAGCAACATGCTCATGAAACAATTTGGGTGGTAATCCTTTAGTGAGCGGATCCGCAATCATGGAGTTTGTGCTAATGTGCTCTATAGATAACTTTCCTTCTTGTACTCGTTCCTTAACAGCCTTAAATTTGACCCCAATGTGTTTTGCCTTGGTCAAACTACTGTTATTCTTAGCATAGAGGACTGCTGATCTATTGTCACACAATAGCTTGAGTGGTCTTTCAATGTTGTCCACTATGCGTAGTCCACTAATAAAATCTCGCAGCCATAATGCCTGATTGGATGCCTCATAACATGCTATAAACTCTGCTTCCATGGTGGAAGTAGCTGTAAGAGTCTGCTTGATACTCCTCCAGGAGATAGCTCCTCCAGCTAGAATATAGATGTAGCCTGAAGTGGATCTCAAGCTATCTTGACATCCAGCAAAATCAGAGTCGGTATACCCAATGATCTCAAGCTCATCCGATCTCCGATATGTGAGCATATATTCCTTTGTTCTCTGTAAATACCGCATGACCCTTTTGGCTGCTTTCCAATGGTCCATTCCCGGATTGCTCAAATATCTGCCTAACATCCCAACAATGTATGCCAAATCAGGCCTTGTACAAACCTGGGCATACATCAAACTTCCTACAGCCGAAGCATAAGGAATGTTCCTCATTTCTTTAGATTCAAAACCATTCTTAGGGCACTGCATGAGACTAAACTTGTCTTCCTTAGAAACTGGGGTATCTCCTGGTTTGCAGTCTTGCATACCAAACCTTTTGAGAACCTTATCGATATAGCTCTTTTGTGAGAGTCCAAGAACGCCTTTGGAGCGATCTCGGTGAATTTGAATTCCTAATACAAAAGAAGCCTCACCAAGATCTTTCATTTCAAAATTCTTTGAAAGAAATCTCTTAGTTTCGTGTAATAAACCTATATCGTTAGTAGCAAGCAGTATGTCATCAACATACAAGACCAGGAAAATATGCTTACTCCCACTGAACTTGTGGTATATACAATCATCACTGACATTTGGTTGAAAACCAAAAGATATAATGATTTTATGAAACTTGTGATACCACTGACGAGAAGCCTGTTTGAGCCCATAGATGGATTTCTTTAATTTGCAAACCATTTTCTTTGAATCCCCCGAAACAAAGTTTTCTGGTTGCTCCATATAGATTGATTCCTCAATATCACCATTGAGAAACGCAGTTTTTACATCCATCTGATGAAGCTCAAGATCAAAATGTGCCACTAATGCCATTATTGTTCTAAAAGAGTCTTTCGAGGATACCGGAGAGAAAGTCTCTTTATAGTCAATTCCTTTCTTTTGAGTGTAGCCTTTAGCAACAAGACGAGCTTTAAACCTTGTAACATTGCCCTTTGAATCCCTCTTGATTTTAAATATCCATTTACAACCAATGGGTTTAATACCTTCAGGCAATGAGACTATCTCCCAAACGTCATTGTCACTCATAGACTTCATCTCATCTTTCATGGCATTAATCCATTCTTGAGAGTTAGAACTTTCCATGGCTTGACGGAAGTTGATTGGATCATCTTCCGCAAAACCAACATCTGATTCTTGTTCTTGGAGGAAGACAATTATTTCTTCCACCAATTCCCAATTTTCCTCATGTTCTTGGAGAAATACAATATAATCATTCGGAATTGCGCTTCTCCTCTCTCGAGTGGATCTCCTTAACGGCACCTCAGGTTCTTGAGGTTGTTGAGTTTGATCCTCATTAATAAATTCAGGTACTTGATTGGGGATGTTTTCGAGATTGTCATGATCTGGAGTTGTTTCTTGAACATCATTAGGAATAAAAATATCTTGATCATGTTCAATGACAACTGAAGGAAGAGTAACATGCTCTTCCTCAAAGACAAAATCTCTAACCTTATCTCCCCACCCCCCAAACTCAATATCCTCAATGAACCGGGCATTACCCGTCTCAAAAATAGTCCTGGTAGTGGGATCATAAAATTTATACCCCCTTGACCTCTCAGAGTATCCTACAAAATAGCTACTAACTGTTCTTGAGTCCAGTTTCTTTTCATTTGGCCTATAAGGCCTTGCCTCAGCTGGACAACCCCAAACATGGAAATGATTTATACTGGGTTTCTTTCCAGTCCAAATTTCATAAGGGGTTTTAGTTGTAGCTTTAGTGGGAACTCTGTTAAGTATGTAAGCTGCAGTTTTCAGTGCCTCTCCCCAGAGTGAATCGGGTAAAGTAGTATGACAAATCATACTCCTAACCATGTCCTTCAATGTACGGTTTCGTCTCTCAGCAACACCATTCATGCTAGGAGTTCCTGGCATGGTGTACTGAGGAACAATTCCACACTCCTCTAGGTATTTAGCAAATGGCCCTGGACGTTGTTCACCGGAACCATCATATCTACCATAGTATTCACCACCACGGTCAGATCTAACGGTTTTTATTCTTTTGCCTAATTGATTTTCAACTTCGGCCTTATAAGATTTGAACACGTCTATTGATTGGCACTTTTCATGAATGAGATAAAGGTAACCATAACGAGAGTAATCATCTATGAATGTGATAAAATATGTTTGGCCATTTCTACATGGTGTAGGGAATGGTCCACAAATGTCCGTATATATCAATTCTAATAGATCTGAAGCTCTCTCGGCACCTAACCTCCGTTTGTTCGTTTGTTTTCCCTTAACGCACTCAACACAAATATCAGAATTTGAGGAGTCAAGAGAATCAAGAATTCCATCTGACACAAGTCTCTGAATTCTTTCTTTAGAAATATGTCCTAGACGCTTGTGCCAAAGTGAAAATGAATTCTCATTGGTTAATTTTCTTTTAGTACCACGAGTACTTACATGCAAGGTTTCATTATATGAGGTATTTATATCAAGTGAATATAGATTATCATAAACTGATAAAAGACCAGTACCAATAAGTTTTGAATCTTGAAATAGACTGAACTGACTATTTCCAAATGAACAAGAATAACCAAATTTGTCCAATGCAGAAATAGAAATTAAATTCCGCCTAAATGACGGCACAACAAATGTCTCTTTCAAATCCAAATAAAAACCAGTCTTTAATAATAATCTAAAAACACCGATAGCCTCAACTTCAACCCGCTTGCCATCACCGACATAGATGTATCTTTCACCATCAATTGGTTTTCGGCAGCTCAGGCAACCCTGCATAGATACACTTATGTGAGTAGTAGCACCGGAATCTACCCACCAAGTGTCTTTTGGTACCAAAATTAAATTAACCTGAGAACAAACAAGAGCAAGAGACATACCCTTTTTCGCACGCCAAGCATGGTACTTAGTGCAGTTCTTTTTCTTGTGATTAGTCCCTTTGCAAAAGAAGCATCCAGATTCCTTAGTTTCTTCCTTAGTTTCCTTGTGATGCTTCCTGGGAGGCCCCGAATTTGCAGCTTCCTTAATTTTTCTTTTATTGCTGCCCTTAGAGGTAGATGCCAAATGAGCACTTTCTGTCTTATCTTGCTTTATTCTCTCTTCCTCTTGAACACAATGAGAAATGAGCTCATTGAGAGACCATTTCTCCTTAATGCAGTTGTAACTGACTTTAAATTGATTAAATTGAGAAGGAAGAGAGATCAAAACTAAATACACAAGCAATTCCTCAGGTAAAACAAGCTTTAGTGCACTTAGTTTTGAAGCAATATGAGACATTTCCAAAATGTACTCCCTTATGTTCCCTTTGCCTTTATACTTCATGGAAACAAGAGTGCTCAAAAGAGTACTAGTTTCCGCCTTTTCGTTTTTAGCAAAACGCTTTTCAAGTTCGGCAAGGAATGATTTGGCATCGGCCTCATCAGACATTGTGCCCCTGAATGATTCTGGAATTGCACGTTTCATGATCATTAGATTCATGCGGTTTGAGCGTTCCCACCTCTCCATCTCCCTCTTTTCATCGAGGGTAGATGTGTCCTTAAGAGCGGCGGGTTTCTCAGTCCGAAGTGCAAGGTCTAGATCCATGCAACCGAGAACGATCATAACATTCTCTTTCCATTCCTTAAAATTCGTGCCGTTAAGCACTGGGATGCTATTAATATTAGCAGATATTGTAGCAGCAGAATTGTTGACTGAAAGAGAACGAAAAATAATATAAATGATATGCTCTAGGAATTGAAATTAATTTGATAATTAATTTTAAATTTAAATATTAGCAATCCCCATCACAAGATACCTAGCGCAACATCTAATCTTGTCTTTGGACATAAATTAGACTTGCAAGTGGTACTCTTGGTGTGATAATAAAATTTTGATAATAAAATCTTGTCAAATATTAAGCCTTTCTTTGGACCGACTTAATATTCACACGAAAAAACTTCATAATCATCACAAATTTTATTATCACAAATGTACTTAAATTTCGGTCAAATAATAACCTTCCTTTGGGCCGATTACTATCCGCATGAAATAAGAAAGTACACAATCATCTTAATATATTAGTTAATAAATTTCAACAAGAGAGGCTACTTTGGCAGCATGTTGCGTCAATTAATCAACCCAAATATTAGACATGCTAATATTAAATCAACAATCTGAAAATAAAATTGGGCGAATTTTTTCTGAATCACATGCAAATGTGTTATATGTAACGAAATTTGTAAAACCCGTACCCAATCGTCGTGCGATCGCAAAATAGGGTTTATACATCCCATAACATACAATAAACATTTTTCAAGCCGTAAGTCATGATCATCAACAAAAGTAATCTATTTCCAAATATGCAATTCTAATAGAACTGATATTACCGTAATCACATATAAGTATTTAATTACCAAAACCATAGAAATTTCCAAAATTGAATCATAGCTGAAAGCAAATCAAAGTGATAAATATACGATCACTAAATATATATTTAACGATTACCACCTACTGCTTTTCAAAACCAAAGTGAAAACATAATAAGATGATAAATTAACTACTGAATCACCTTTCAAAATAATCAATCCTCATATTGAGACTCCAATAAACATTACAAAATTAAAAAACACAAAAAAAATTAACTATACGGCACTTCACCATCTATTCATTCAACATAAAGAGAAATTAATTTCCACTATAGTTTTTTTTTTTTTTTTTTTTAAATCATTGAGTGCCAGCCGAATATATACCATCCACGGATTCTAAAAATCAAAATGAATACACATACCTAAAATAATCGATCGTGAGATTGACTAACAAGATTAACCCTACGGCACTTCAAGATCGGCAGCATAAAAAAAAAATCCACTGTAATTTTCTAATCACTGAGTGCCGACTGAATCTCAATAGAAAAATAAAAACAGGACTATTCAATTAATTCCATCACAGATCATGGCCGATACGATTATCAAAATACAGATTCATAGGAAATCTGATTCCATTGTAAATTTGTAATCGGCTAATCGCATATGGAATTGAATTGAAGTGCCCAAAATTTAATAAAATCTGACTCCAAATAATTCAATATGAAGTAGGCTCTGATACCAATTGTTGGAATAAATCCATGAATACTTTAATCTTCATATTGAAATTATCTAGAGAATTAACTGAGCGGAAGCGTACCTGACTCCATGGGAGATGGCCTTTAGAGATCCGGGAGATGGAGGCTAGGGTTTGTGTCTTCTAGTTGATACACACCCTCGGGATTATCTCTCTAGCGATGGGATGCAGAAAGACAGAATGGCGTGTACAACTAGGGACCATAACCCCTTATTTATAGAGTGCTTAACCCTAATCAGCCCATCATTGATTAGGTCAAGCCCATGGGTCTCTACACATTTGGGCCCTATACCTTATTAGATAACTTATTAGCCCACTTAAATTAATATTCATAGGACCACTAATTTTTGGGCCTAAATATAAGATAGCATATAACATACAATTAAACCCGATAAATAATATATTGTGAATATTACATGTAGTCTAAGTCCAATAATCTAACATCCACATCATTCAATTGCTTTCCAAATAATCTAAAGGGGGTGTCCCCAACACAGATTTTAAATGATTTTAAAGGATTGTAGATTCTATAGATTTTAATGAATTCTACAGATTTCATGAGATTTATATGGAATTCTATGGAATGGAATCATATGGATTTCAATGGAATTTGGTAGGATTTGAAGTGCCGTTGAAATATACGAAGCTCAGTTAGTCCCCCCAAAACGACGGTGAACAGTACCTTTACAATCACCGCTACCCAGTGCAGATAGTCTCAGTTTGCTGCGAATTTGTGCAAATATGATGTTACCGTTATGGATTATCCAAGACAACATGAAGGTTGCCGTTGTCTTTGATCCATCATTTTCTTCGTCTCTGTGAGAGTTGGCTCTCTCTTGGGAATCAATAGAATGTTATCTAACCACACTGTCAGAGAGGAGGTTGGCCTGTTTTGGAGAACAATTTTGTTCACCCTCATTTGAGAGGGTTATGATCACCCCACCCCTATTTGGCAAGGCAATACTTTACAATTTGGCAATTGTTTTATCTTTTTCTTTTTTAATCAATTTTTTAAAAAAAAAAAATATATCAAAATTTTTCTTGTTTTACGATCTTTCATATGGTACTAATATTGCATATAATAAAATTAAAAAAATCAACTAAAAATAGATATTTGGAAACAAATGATTTTTTTTTTCAAATTTTATATATACAAAATTGATATCATTGGAAAGATCATTAAAAACTAAAAAATCTGATATGTTTTTTTATAAAAAATAGACTACAAATAAAAAAATTATAACATTTTAAAGAAAAAATGGGATGGAATGCCACATGTCAATCATAGAAAAAATGGGACGTACAAAATTGCACTCCATGTTTTGGCCTTTGTTCCGGCTAGTTTCATGATTTTCAAGAAATTGCATAGTGGAGAGAAGGGAAATAAGAAGTACGTGCATAGTGTGTAAGATTCCACCAAAATCCGATGGGTTGCAGGAAGAGTTTTGATGGACTGATTCGTGCATTATTGTAGTGTAAGATTCCATCGAAATCCATTCAAATCCCTCCAGCTAAACAATTTATGGAATAGTTGAGGACACCTAGATTTTGAGAGACTCCACAACAATCCAAGTTAAGAACACCTGGATTTGGATGGAATTCTAAACTCCATTAAATGGTGACGATGCTTTGAAGAGTTCACGGGCTTTCCAGATTGATTTGTACACGGGCAAAATTTATACATGACCTTATGTGAGGCACAATGATGGTATATAACATGATTTGATATAGAGTTTACAACATGTGAACAACGAAGCCTATAGAAACACCAATTTTATAGAAAATAATTGTTTTCCATTGTAAGTTGTGGAATGAATCGGTTGAATATTTAAATATTTAGGTTTAGTCACAATTTATTTACTAACTACTTATAAATTATAGGAAAAAGGGTCAAAAAACATTTTGAATCCATTACTTAAGATCTTCTACTAAAAAACATCATATAAGTAAGCTAACTTTTAAAATAAAACCAATCAAGCCATTGACATGCTATAGCATGTTGTTTTTTTAAAAAATAAATTAGGAATATTGATAAAACTTACAAAAATTAATGTATATTTGAATAAATTGTAATAATAATATAAAAAATAGTATAGATATAAAAAAGATTAAAAAATTTAAAACATTAAATTAAAAATCAGAAAATTGAAAAAAATAAAGTGAAAATAAAAATATAACAAAATTTAAAAAATATTTTAAATAGATGTAGAATATACAAATAATTTCAAATTTTCAAAAATATATATTTTAACATTCAGAAAAGTTTCACAATTATATATATATTTCTTCAATTTTTATTAAATTTTTAGAGTTTTTATATATTTAAAACCTGCTACTAGTCAAAAACTGAATAAATGGTCGAATTGATAAATTTGTTAAAGTATGCGTACTTATATGATATTTTTTTAGTACAAGGTTTTAAGTGACGGATTTGAAATAGTAGAAGAGCTTATCTGAACTTTTTCCCTAACATATTATATTAAAGTCAATTTTAATATTATAGAAGTGCTTCACTTTTTTTTTTTGACAGGAAACTAACATATTATATTAAAGTCAAGCTCGCAGTACAATAAGGTAACATGCAAACAATAAAGTAACCCCTCTATCCCAAGATGACCAAGAGCCCAGCAGACCTCTCACTCCTAGATCAGACATAGAATAGCTCATCCTAAAAAGAGCGAGACTAATCGCTGAAAATGTGAGAGGTTCCTAAAAAGAGATTGCCTCCAATAAGTAATCTATCAACTAAAATAAAACAAAGTGTCATTCTACCCCCCTTATTGTTTATCCTAAAAAGAGAAAAATAGAAATAGTAGAATAGTGTTGAATGAAAATAAAAAACTAGAGATAGTAAAGCAGTCTTCCAAACCGTAATTGCATAGTTCATCCATGGCGGTGGTTCGGGAGGGGGACGAATTTTCATCCCTTTATCTTCTTCCTTCATCACTTCGATCTGCCCGTGGATCGCCTCCTTCTCATGACCCTGGTACTACACGAACAAAACCGATCCGAGAACGAGTAGTCTCCACATCCCAATTCGGATTAGTCACACAACCCAATCAAATTTGGAATTGGTCTTCGCTGCTCCAATCCTATATTGCGGAATCCGTCCTTGTATCGTCCAACGTCGAGCGAAGAGATTCGCTGACCCCAACTTACGCAGACGAGGGTCAAAACCCTAGCTGCGGCAGAACTTACGCAGACGAGGGTCAAAACCCTAGCTGCGGCGGACTGGTGCAGTGGCACGGTCGTGGTCCTGGAGCTGGAGGCAGACGTCGCTGTGTGGTAACAGCCGGCAAGCTGGAGAAGTGGAGAGTTGAAACTGGCGCTGGGTAGCGGCAGACCCCTCGTTGCTTCGCAAACCCTATATGGGAAAATATTTATGAATTAACTTTATATTGTTCACTTATTTTATTACCCACAGTCTCATTTTGGTTGTCTTATATATTTTCCTTTTGGGTAGTCTAAAAATGAATGTCATGTTTCCTATTTTGGCAATAAATATATGGGCAATATTGTTTCACTTTATTCTACTTAAATTTCAACTACAACTATTAGTTTTCAATCACTTTATTAATAATCGTGTCAACCCAAATTAAGACATTCAATAATATATGGAAAGTAGTATAAAGTTAAAAGTAATTGATCTAAATAGGACTAAAAGATAAGATTAATGCAAGTATAGGATCATATGTTTTTTTATTCCCAAAATAGGATATTTTTTAATTTTATTCCTTTCTTAACCCTACTGATATTTTAAACACACCGTTCCCGTTTCTTTTTTCGTAATCTGCAGCACACCACTCCTTTTTTCTCTCCACTATCTCTCCTCTTTCGTTTCCCTACCCCCATTACGTCTCATCTGCCATAGACCCATAGTGTCAGTCCACCCTCCTCCCCTCATTTTTTTCTCTCCCATAGTTCCATCCCCCCACATCTCCCTAGGTCCTCATACTTTCAAATTTCTCTTTCTCATTCGTCACCCACCAATCTTCCTCATAAAAAATTCACATTCAAATTAATTTATCCTGCATTTATCTAGCAAATTCCAGAGAGTTCAGCAAGGATTCCTCTCTCATCTCCGGCCAATTTTTTCTCTTCAGGCAATCGGTGAACTCCTGTAGTCCTATTGAATATGAAAGGTTTGCATTCTTTTCTTCTTCCTCCACCTCTTTCTCTTTCTTCGTTTCCCCCTCTTTTTTCTTCCTTCATCCTTGTTCGGCCTCTGTTTTTTCTTCTTTTGAACTTGAATGACCGGTGATTGAAAATAAACCTTGATTCGATTTTTATATATTAATTTTGATTTACTTTATTTTAAAGTTAACTAGTGTCGTGTTTTTGGTTGGTACACTCCTGGAATACAACCACTCTAGTGCCATGTTTTTCGTTGGTATGGCGTTAATGTAACAAAGATGACAATACTTGTCATTTCTTAATACATTAATGACATGTTTTTTAATACAAAGATGACATGTTTTTAATGACATGTTTTTTAATACATTAATGCCATGTTTTTTAATTGAAAATGTCATCTTATTTCTTTTAGGATGACAATAATATCATTATGATGGCATTACAACTGTAAGATGGCAATTGACTGGTAATTATATCAGATTCAAAATCAGATCTAATATCTACGGTGGTGGAGGCGGTTGCGGCGGTGGTGGTGGCTGTTAGACCCAGTATATAAACAATCAAACAATCTAAGCAGTTAAGAAGAAGCAGATAGAAAGATATCGACAAGATTAAAACCAAATCTGGTATACCGTATAAAACTCCGATGCTCTCCCTGGAGAAGGAGAGCAGCGGAAACCCTACTCTTTCTATCTCGCCTCTGCGTCTCTAAAGCCTCTGTCGATTATTAGGGTTCCCGTAAGTTAGTCTCATTTTATAGGAGAAGTTGGCTAACTTACGGGTTACAAGGAAGCCCCCGGGCTGATACACATTTGTGGCCCGTATTACACGTTTAATTAATAACTACACAAATACAAAGATATTTAATTAGATTGGACACCATAAAATATTCCTAACAGTGGCGGTGGCGGTGGTAGAGACGCCGATGGTGGTGGTGGAGGTGCCACCGCCGGCGGTGGCAGTTGAGGCGATGGCGGGTGGCTGAGGGAAAAAATTGGTTTTTTTGTTGCGTCACCGGATCTACGGTGACTGGCAACGGCAGGATTCTGGATGTTGTGTCCAAGGCCATCGGATCTCCGACCGCCGGCGGC